GGAATATTAAGATTTCAGCAGGTAATGCAAATTCTACCAGTTTTCATTAATTATGCCAAAGCTTACCACTTTGTCCAACCAATGCAACTTTTTTTGCTGACTCTGTGTGGCAAATTCAACTTAAAAAATCTAATACTTAATGCATTCAAGTGAAAATGTAGATACTCTTTTGCTTTGAACTGTTGGCCCTCCACACTCAGCCGTCCAATGTTGCCTTAGTTTGAGTCTGTCCACCAATCAGAGGCTGTGTCCAACTTTATACTTCTGTGAAATGGTAATCCTTCCAGTATAGCTCTTTACTCGCATCACTGATTGTATTTTGAATGGACGGCATCACTTCATTTCCACCTATTGAGAAGCTAAAAAACCACGGGAACTGATGTGGTTGGTAGAGTCCAGGTAGAGCAGGAGAGATTCTTGTGTTTATTTGTCAACATAGCTGTCAATCAATCATCCCTTTAAAATAACTTATCCAGCTTATCTAAAACCTAACTTATCAAGACTAAACTTCTCAACACTGTGGCAGCTATTTGCAATGAAAACAGTGTCATAGCAAAAACGCTTAACACAGGAATTATGGTATGCATATAACGGACAATATTAAAGCATATGTGTGTGTGTGTGTGTGTGTGTGTGTTGTGTGTGTCTGTATCTATTTAAATAATGAATCTGCCATCATGTGCTTCCACAGTGATATAAAGCAGACAGTAACAGACAGGCATCTGCAGGGGTCAGGCAGATGTTATCTGGTCTTTCTTATTCGCTCATGATTATTTTATAATCTTATATTCATTTCATTTAACCCTGAAGACTCGCTCTCCAGGTAAAATTCCCAAAGAATATATCAGTTTATTTGACTTTCCTTAAGCCAGGAGAACAGAAACTATTTCTGTGAAGAAGAAACTGATGCCACATTGTCCTTGTTTGGATTTTTTCACTGTGTCTCATTATAAGAACAGTGCAGAGGTTTGCAGAGAGGTCTTTCCTGTGAGACGTTCTCTTATGCCAGTATGGGTGCACTTGGAGAAGGGGGGCCCTTAAATCCACTCCATCTCTGGGCGCAGCTGTTTCCTTTTTATCAGATTTTAGATAGTGGAACAGCAGATACACGTGAGAACAGGCAACACATTCGTTCATTACTTTTTAAGTAAAAAACAGAAAAACAAACATGTTCCATCAGGATGAAAAAATGCTGGAAGTAGAAAAACTCCCCTTTCAGAAGACAATTAACAGAGACAGCAAGTTTCCTCTTGAGGGCTGGATGTCGGCCATCTTCAGTGACTTTGCTCACAACCTTGGGAATGTATGTGAGCATGTTTTCTTCCTTTTCTTAATCCCCTCTCTTTCTAGCTGTGCTTTGGCTGAGCACCGTGACCACTTAACTAATTGTGTTGTGGAAGATGTTCCAAGGGTGATGATTCGGCTCGGGTTTCCAAAAGTTTTGTTAAGCGGCGATGCAGGTTTCCTAAGAGTGAGGCTCTGTCGGGGCCTCTTTTAGAAGGCTAAGATGCCAAAGCCGTGCCAGTGCCTCTGGGAGATGATAGGAACAGCATTACTCTGCTAATGTGTCCACGGTAAAACAAACATGCTGATGTTGAGCTGTTAAAACGTTCTCAATGTTAGCTGAGGCTTTCTGGATTCAAACAATGGTGCCATATGTATAACCATGTCATCCAGTAGTTGCTGAGAAATCCAGACTAGCTACCAGCATTATAAGAAAATTCTTAGTTAGGTGGTTTATTGGCGGGGTTTCATAAGGTTCCTGTCTTTTTTAGGAGTATTGCCCACAGAGCATCAAAGGTAGCAAGACCCAACTCATGTTGGATGGGATTGGTCAGATCTTTCTTATCATAAGCTTGGGTCTTTGTAATGAGTGTGGTCTAGACCCGCTCTTTTGGGAAGCATCTTGGGATAACGACTGTTTTGATTTGGCGCTATGTAAATAAAAATTGATAAATTGATTTGTTGAGCAACCAAAGAGGGAACTATCACAGCTATCAACTGCTGTGTCATCACATATCTCAGCTAATTTCAATAAAGCTTGACCCAAAAAACTAATATCATCGTAAGTGTATGCTACGTTCAGAAAACTCTGCTTGGCTGTCAGCTCTTGGTCCTCTTTCAGAACATTTGATTTAAAGCAGGATATGTTTATATTCTTGATTTAAAGGCTCCCTTGCTCACCCCTACTATCATATCTTGTGATATATTCTTCCACCCTGCTTTTGGTGGCTGTCAACTAGATCCAAAAAGTGTGCATGGCGTCTAGATGTCTGTTCTGTGCGGTGCAAGACGGCGGCTTCTGTGAAAGGGGATCCACTCCTAAGTAGATATAAAAGGCTCATTCTAAGTAACATTTTTTTATCTAGGTCATTTTCCATAAATTTAAAGATCCATACAAATACAATATTCAGTTTCTACTAAGTCTGTTCTGTTCGATATTGCTAAATACTGCTCACTGTGTCTTTAAATGGCCTTAATTGATGTAGGGCCAAGCTGACTATGACCCCTGTGGGTGATACTCCTGTCAAACAACCCCACTTAGAAAAACTTTTTTGTAATAATTTTGAGTAGATTGTGCAAGCAGAGAACAGCATGCCATGTGTTTGAACTTTAAAGGTTCTTGCAAGTGAATTTTAACAGGAGAAAAGACAGAATCCTTTTGATTCTGGTTTTTGTGCTAGACCAAGCTGACTGTCTCCAGCTGACTAATACTAAGTATGACAGTATCTTGTATAGACATGATGATATCATTTTTCCAACCTAACTTAAACATAATTACAAGTGGCATGTGAAAAAGAGGAGAAACTATTCCTTCTGGGTTTGACTCTCTGTGTATCATCATTTGTTGACACTGAAAACTGCTTTCAGTTTCCCACATAAAAACCCAGTTTAGTATGACTTGTAGCACAAAATTTGGGCGTATGCATGGGATAAATCTTGAGAGGGCTTGGACTTGTGGTAGTGTCTTTCTGGTTTGTAGGTCCCGAGCAGCAGCAGCCTCACCACTGGCTGTGGGTTTTTTTCCATGAGGCCTGAGGAATGGAAGTAGCTGAAGCTTTGTAGAACAGATGTTCCTGCTCAGCCCTAAACCAAATTACGCTGCCAAGCTCACAGCCATGGGCCAGAACCGCACAGATGCTGATTGAATGGCAAAGAGGGCAACTAAAGCAGATCAGGCTCAATAAAAGCAGGCACATCTTGAAATCTGGTCAGCCTTACAGGCTTGAAGATAAAAGGGAAACTGACATCACTACAGAGAGCTGCAGGCTTTGGTCCAAACCCTCGTCTCTGGCTGCGCGAATGTGTATATTTGTTTTCATGAGAACTCAAAATGTGTATTTATATGCTTTTGATTTTGATATCTTAAACAGACAGTCGGCTACTGGGTGTAACCAGTAAACCCAAATAGAAAGTTAAACTTTTGACGTCACACAGTTTACAGAAAATTGTCTCCTGCAAACCAAGAGACTAAGAGACACCAAGATTACTATCTTGGTAAATATTTCTTATACAGTCTTTTGAAATCCAGAAAAAAATTGAGTGTAAGTAATCTTCTTGTTTTATTATTTGTGTGAAACTATCCACAAAAAAGTTCTGTGAGTCATGATCTTTTCTGGGACAGTTTGGGGGTTAGTCAATTTTCTCAATTTCAATTATTAATTCAACTTAACTGTAAACATATAAAGCTCTTTGTAATAAATTCTGGTAAATGTTCTCAAGTTGTGTCACTTCTCAGGCGATAAAAAGTTATCTTACCAGAGCTCACTGAACTTTTTTTTTTTGTATTTAGTAGATATCAGGTCAAAGCTCTCCGTTGGCTTCTGCACTGCTAATGTCTGACTGATCTGTTGGCTGTGAAGTTGAAGTTTAGGTAATGTAGGTTTTGACAAAAACAAAGAATGAGTGGAGGCCAAAGATCCTCAAATTGCTCCTCATGAAAGAGACAGTCTTGTGAGTGGCAACTTTAAAAATCCATGACCCTGGACTTTCAAAACACACGTTGAGTTTCGAGTCCCTGGTGTTTAAGTCCAAGAGCCAATCCCAATTGTACCCCTTAGACCTTGTCCTACCCCTTAACCCTTGGTTTTGCGCGTTCACGTCAAGTGAAGGGATGTCCTAATTCTCCATTAGGTTAAGGGGAAGGGGGAGAGGTATCAAGGGGTATGATTTTCATAGTAATGACACCTTTGTTTTAAAATCGTGCATTATGATGCGCTATCTAACGAAGCTATAGCTATTGATAGCTACACAGATATCAGACTCGGGTGACAAATTCACTGCAAACAGCAAGGCATGATGACGTAGCTGGAATCGAGTGGCGTCTTGTTTCTTAGGGGCATGTTTTCACCCTTTCCCCTTGGCCCTTAAAACAGAAAACCAAGGGGAAAGGGTAAATGAAGGGGTAAGACAAAGGGGAAGGGGAAAGTGTGATAATTGGGATTAGCCCCAAGTCACCAGAGGAGAATCCAGGTCAAATCCTTATTATGAGGAGGCTTTATAAGGAGTCTCACCTCAAGTTAGTCACTGTATGAATCTCGAATGACTGTGAAGGACCTTTTCAGTGTTTCAGAAACACAAGTTCACATAAGTTAAGGCTTGTCCCTGTCTTCTACTCAACGGTTTTTCTTTTTACATAATGTACACGTTGCTTTAACCTTGTTTGTATTTGCTGAGAAATCTTTGAAGTACCTCTACAGCAACAAGCAGCACTTGTGATTCCTGGCAGTACTTAAGTCAAAGTCCTCCTCTTCACCCGCTGAGAATGAATGCTGTCAATATGGGAGTCCAAATCCAAGCACAGTCACCAGAACCTGAGTTGAATCTTGAAAACCAGGTCCTGTATTTGAGTACAGCTCTGGTTAGGGGAGAAAAACAGCTAAACCTGAACTTTGTAAGAGTTAAAACACTATCAGCAGGTTGACCCCAGTCCTCTCACCCCGGCTGGGTATGGCAACACAAACACCAAATCTTCCTCCAGAGATAACCTTCAATTATCCGTCATTTCTCATTATGTCGTGCCTTTCTGACCTGTCTTGCACCTCAGCACAAAAGATATTAACCTACATTATTTAACAAAAAAACAATGCTAGGATTTTTTCTCAGACTCATTTTCACTTTATTAAAATAAATGGCGGCTGGGTTTGAAATAAAGGAATGAAACATTGAGTTACACCTTTTACATCATTTAAAAAATTACTGACATTTAGAATAATGTACTTCATGCATGATCGTCTTCCACATTCAGTAAGATTAAATGCTTACACAAATCATAGCTTAATAATCAGTGGTACCACTTGGCTGAAACAATGCCCTGAAGTCAGACCGGTGCTGCTGACACACTGAAAAATAACTTCTCTACCATTTTGTGGGTTGAAGTCCATAAGGTTTGAACAGGATCATTTTTCCACAGACATTCAAAGTAACAGACATACAATGTTATGCTGCCAACCAGGATCAGTTGAATTCTTGCGTAAGAGCAGATTCATCATGCTCACTAATGAGCGCTCATCTTCCCAGGGGTCTGAAATCTCCAAGATGAAACTTTTTCTTTGGTGGCTGCAAGTCAAATGAGGAAACAGCATTGGACACTTTCCCAGTTACGGATAACAGGGACTGCTGGGTGACATAAAGGCTCTGCAGACAATTTGCTGAGATTACCTGACAATGAACTCGAGTCTTAGTCTGGTCTTTGACAACAGAAAGGGACAGAAGAAAAAGATTCAAAGAAAGACAAAAAAAGTGAGAGATGTGTTTTCAAGGGGTGAGTGCTGAAATAAACATGAAGACTGAGCTAAACAACAAGATCAGCTGCACCAGAATGTAACAGTATGCAAACAAGCAGCTGAGGGTACCAGGGCCTACCTATCAAGCAAAAAATGGTAAATCTACTCATGAAATATTCATACTTGAGCAAAGGGACAGACATCAAGCTGGAGCTCCATCATTTTAAGTACGCTTCAGGGTTCAGCGCCGCTGTTTGACAGGCTACAGAGCTTGGGTTTGATTTTATCAGGGTCAGCGACTTAAGGCAAATGAACTCCAACACGTTGTTTCATTGTCATGGTCAACTAAACACATAAGTAATGTTGAAACTTTGTCAGGCTGCCTTCTATTCTGTGAACAGAAGTTGAAGATGTAACAAAGATCCTGCTAGTTTGTGGGCCCCACTCCTGTTCCTGCTGAACTGAGCCAGTTTTCAAGTAAAACACTGATACCAGTTCAGTAGGCACGGGAGGGCACAGCCCAGACTTCTCTCTGTTTGACTCTACATTGAGCAACCTGGATGCCTGTTCAAAAGCTGTTTCATGGATGTAACAAAAAGGAAAACACGCACTGTAAACACAAAGATGCAACACCATCATTTTAAAGCAGTCAGGCTGTTTGCAGCCTCTATGAGAGCACAGTTCAAACAAGGTTTTCTCACTCTTCAAACTCTTGTGAGGAACTTTCAGTTTGGGTCAACTTTAGCACCCCCAAGACAAAGCAGTCTTTGCTTAAAGTCCCACTCCGATATATATATATATTTTACGACTTAGAGTGTTATCTGTGGTCCTTAAATTGTGATTATGAATTTTTTTTAGCCAAAATCATGTTACCTGTGTCGTTTTCAAGAACTTTTCTTCTGCAGAGCTCCTGTACCTCATTAGCAATTCGCATCTGAGTCTGCACACTTCTCCTCGAGTTAGCTTGCAGCCTAGCATTAGCGGTGTAGTAGAAGAAACAGGTAAAATAAGAGCTTTTCAGCTCTGGCACACTAATGTCTTTAGGGAAAAGGTGAAAGCTAATATCATAATTAGCTTTCTTACGAGCATTTCAATCGGCAAACGCAGACGCTTGTTCCGCGATCATCCTCTCTATTTCTCCAAGCCTGGCCTTCATAGTGGGGCTTCGGGGGCGGAGCTTGGATTGGTTACATAGGAAATCTCTCTTTTTCTGATCCTGCCATTTGGGTCTGTCAGAGATTTACAGCGATTTGACTTCAGAAATACTCAGAAATGCTTTTTCGCACTTCTTTTTCTCGTGATATGTCCTGTAGCATCAGAAAAAATGCCACATGAACATGTAGACAACATGATTTTCATCGGAGTGGGTCTTTAACTTTTCCTGTACATGCCTAAGTAGTGTTCTCACACAAAAAAACAAACTGCTCCTGACAACTTTTGACAATCAAATGTATCATTTTTTGGATAAAATATACCGTGCAATATATACAAAAAGCGCTGTTTCTTCAGCTGCTTGGCTGATGTCTACCCCCCTCACACCAGTTTCAGGCATTAAAATTACAGAATAAAAATGATCCATCTTGTAGCTGATGGTCGTGTTTGCCTTTATGTCATAAAAACTCCTCACAGGAGCTTTAACGTTCTCCCCACCTCATAGGTAAGTGTTGTTAGTTTAGGTTGTACTCCATGGCCTTAGGAGTATATTTCCACATCACCATACACATTAACTGCTGCAGTTAAGTTTAAGAGCACATAGAACATACGTTTCGATTACGTGTTTTTGGTTTAAAAGGATCTGAGAAGACAGAAATCTCCAGATGGTTCTGTTTCTCTCTCTCTGTTAACTTTTTCATCACAGCCCCACAGTCTCAAATCTTGACTAACATGCTGTTTCCTGTTAAAGCTGAGTTATTATTAAGCAGACAATTATCAGGAAGGACTGGATTAGATGACTAACTTGTTTTTTGTTGGTTTCTCCTTCAACACAGCCAATGCTGCCCCTAAGTACCGGCACACTAGTCCTCAGCACACTCAGTTGGACATGAACTTGGCATGCCCAGACGCGTCTGACATTTAGCACCACATTCCTTAAATTGCTGTACAACCTGTGGCATTTTTTTTATCCACATTAAACCTGGGTCAATCTGTCTCACTGAAGCGCTCTCAAATATTAAGTATGCATGATGATTCTTGCCAGATGCATAACACAGTTGATGCTTCGGGCAAACAAAAGAACGGTACAGCTTGTCTCATGTCTGGGACGTGTTGCACACTCATAACCTGCATTTGGTCCACATTAATACACTTAACTCTGAATAACACCTTCACAGGACCACGATCTTTTGTCTCTTTGAGTTTTTAGCTTTCGCCCTCCCTCTCTACCTAATCTCGCCACTCCTCTCCTCCTCCTCCTCCTCCTCCTCCTCCCTCCTCCTTTCTTCATATCCGAGATCATCAAGTTCTTTCCATTCACCGGAACAAATCCCCTCCGTCGAATCAACTATTTCACCTCAGGCACTGAACTTAGCCACTGTGAACAACACATAGCAGGGATCAATGCTCACCAATTAGCTAAGCTCTGTGCCTTTAGCAAGTGGGTGGCTGGCTTTTGAGGGAACAGAGACGCACGCAGACCTTTACGTGACTGCTCAGTGGTAAAGTGTGACTGCTTTTAGGAGCCTTAAGAGCTTTTGAGGTTTAGGTTTGCTTCGCCTTAAACAGGGACTTGTACATATTGTGTTTCAGAGAGCGCTGCCAAAAGAGGATCTTAACCATCATTTTAAACGTTAAAATGGCGCCTGTGTTTATGACTTCAAGTCCAAGAGCTGAAAGTGATCTCCCTCCAAAACTTCACTCAATCATAGCAGCTGTGCGACTTTCATGTGTATGTATGCAATGTCAACATCTTGGCTGGTTTTAAAAGGCGGGGATAGTAAAGACTGTTTCATATTTTGGTCAGCTGCACGTGAAACTGCAGACTAAAATGCGATTCGATATGTTCTCTGCAGTTTTTCATGTGAAGAACTGATCCCACATGAAAACGTATAGGGAGATCCAATGAGAAGTGATCTAAACACCCATTGGACATCTCCGTTATTTACTCAACAGCAACAGTCAGTGTCAAATTATAGAGGAAAAAAAATGCAGGGCAGCCAAGACGTCTACACAAAACCTCCCCACAGTGGAAATATAAGTCGGTCACCTGCTGAGCTGTGAAAGAGTGGAAATCCCTGGCAATGTGATTTTTGTTTCTCTGTGTGCATCAAATCACGGTGCCAGGAACCCTCTCCACCACAGCGGGGATCAACTCTGCGTCTCTCCACCCTTCTTCTGCCCTCTGTATCTGCTCCAACATCCTCCTAGGCTCCAGATGCCTCTGTCCGCAGCAGCTGTGGAGCACCTGCGACCTAAAAGAAAAGCGAAAAAGAGAGGCATAAATCCTCAGAGAGTCCAAAACAAAACCTCTATCGTAGAAACCTGAAGTGGTCTGATGATAATCTATGATGCACTTCAAACCATTCCTGTAACCCTTTGGATGAAAGATGATACAACTTATCTCTGTAACAAAAATATTAAATTAGTGTGACGTGAGGAATGACTCTGCAGACTTCTCTTCTGCACGGATCAGCAGGATGCAGCAGATGTGGAGTTTAGTTAGAACATGCAGTGCCAGCCAGACGGTCGGTTTGTTTAAAACAACTCAGGTGTGAGAGAAAACACAGCTTGTTTAAAATAGCGAGAGCAACGCAAACTGTCTGCTGCTACAACATATCAATACTCCACCTATTGAATGTGTGAGGAGGGGAAAATGCAACATAGACAGATCTGGAGGTTGCTGTAAGGATTGGAAATCAACAACAACGAACGGACATGGGTCTGTTTTGTCTCTGTGTCACATTAAGCGAGGGGATTTCAGGTCAGAGATGGTTTGATGTTGCTGGGTGAGTTGAGAGTGGAGAAGATAAGAAAGAAAAAAAAGTTTCAGCTCTGTTTTTGCACTCCTGAAGACTTGGAACGTAGCCGGGTATTATTATCTTTTGTTGTTGTTGTTTACACTTTTTTGCAGGGAAAATTCCAGGCCCACCCTGGTGAGGGGACGGAATAATGACAGGATTGTTGAGCAGTGAGGAGGAGTTAAGGGCTGAGCCTCAACAGAGATCCTTTGAACACTTTTCGATCACAAAAGAGAAATCAAGACATTTTATTTTTTGTAGTTTGGAATAATTGTGATGCTTATTTTTGTCATTTTTCACTCAAAAATCCATCAGATATAAAACATCACCCATCAAAAGCTCCATTATTATCACAATGAAATCCACACGCCTGTTTTTTAAGGTCAAAGCTCGACTCCTGTCTGCACATGCAGGTACATAAAAACATTACAGTGTCTGCTGACATAATCTCAATGACATAATTACAGCATTGTGTGAAGGGACTGGTTGTTTTCCTAAGGCAGACGAGTTTATGCACAGTGCCACAGTACATGTTGTACAACCTAACAGAGGCGTGAAAAATTCTTCCAGACAGAGAAATGTGTCTCTGCTGTCAAACAGTGTTAACAGCCCACCCCTCCCTGTGCAGGAATCATGAATAAATATGTTTGTCTAGGCTGAGAGATGCGGAACATAAAAGTTGTGCTTCATGGAACAGTTGTAGGAAAAGGGGAATGAGGGATTGCCTTTGTAAATGCATTCTTGTGAGTGTTGTATGCTCTCATGCATGAGCCGGAGAGTGTAGTGTGTGATAGAAAGAAATAGAAAGAGTCTAAGTGTGAGTTCAACAAAGAAAGTGGTCATGCCCTCTGTCGTGAGTGAGTCAGTGTTTGTTTGCTGGGCGTGAAAGCTTCATGTGGGAAATAATTGACTGGTGACACTAGTATCATCGGCATAATGAAAGCCGTGGTGAAGTGACATACTTTTGACAAGCAGAGTGACGTACAGGGTGGCATTTAAAGGTTGAATATGTTAATGTCTAATGAGGTCTTTAAAAATCATTAGCACAGTTAATTAGGACTGCCACTGATGATTACTTTGATCATTAAGTAATCTTAAAATTGATTTGAATTTATGTTAATTACTTTGCCTTTTGAACAAAAGAAAATAAAAATACTAAAGTTCACAAATCTTTAATAACTCAGTTAATGCAAAGGGTAAAAAAGCCTAATGATGCAATAAGATACAATACAATATCAAACCAAACCAAACCAAACCAAACCTAACCAGATAGTATGACATGATGCAATATGATATAAAACAATAAAATACTGTATGATACCAGACCCAACCAAACCATACACAATGATACAATATGATTTTTACAAGTGTCATAAAACTCATAGAAAACAATGTTGTATGATATAACAAAATGTATATACAAAAATTATGATACATGATATAATACGTATATTTACAGTTGAGTATGACTCAATACAGTAGAATATGATACAATGCATTATGAGGCAGTATGATGTATTGTGATATGGTATGGTTTGAGTCTCTACAACACGATAACACACAATACAACATAATACAATACAATGTATTTGACATGATACGATACAGAATGATATATAAAATAATAGAGTTTTTCAGAAGCTGATACCGATACTTATAATGAGAGAGCAGGTCAGCTGATAGCCGATACCAAAATATGTTGATTTTTTTTTTCCTTTTCTTTCTTTTTTTTTTGTTTGCTCTTGAATTTCACAAAATAAACTTAAATAATACTAATAAATTGAAATTGAAATTGGTGAACGTAAGAGAATATTTATTCAGTAGACAAAAATGGAAAATAGATGTTTGGATTAAAATTTGTTCAGAAAGAAAAACTGTGTAAGTTAAATATTGAGATAAAAAAAATAAGAAATTTTGTGTACAGATTAAATATTCCACATACATTTAAACCTAATATACATGGCTGTCTTAGTCGGTAATATGCATTGGTAGTATTTGTAATGCACTGATGGAAAGACACAAATATTGGAAGCTAGAGTTTGGTAAACATGGCTGATACTGCTGTCAATAAAAAGATTCTACCATACCACACAACACTACACAGCAGTCAATAACTGTTTTGGATTTAATATGCTGCGTAAGAGGGATAAGACAGATGTATTATTATATTTAAAGATGCTGATAACGTTGGTTTTGTCTGTCTATCTCTAATAGGTACTATTCAGTACTGTACAATATTGCAAAGTACTATACACCCTTTTTGTGTTTTACATTTCTGCTTTGATTGGAGTGCTGCACACATACCAGTCATTACCAAAATGTACACATAATTAAGGCAAACTGCATGTCACGCACATTACACAACAATAAGAAGAAGAAACACTATTTTTTTAAAAACATAGTCATTACGCACCCCCACAGTCTCAGGAAACCTTTCGATTTGGACAAAGGGAGGTAAAAATGAGTTTGCAGCAGTAGACAGTTTCCCTTAAAAAAAGCAGTAAATCTTTTGTGTTTGTGAAGCTGGGACCATCAAATAAATGGCAGTTTTGCTTCAGTAGCACTTGAGTGTTCAGTTTTGATGCCATTTCCATGAGTCCAGAGAAAACTGACTCCTATTTGTGAAAGCATCATGTCAACTTTCCAGCTTACATGAGTCGTATAGAACACAATTTACAGCCTGATGGAAGTTATTATTCTTCATGAGGCTGAAGGTGTGAACAAGTCACCACATTTAGAAAGTGCAAGGTTTGCAGTAACAGGCGAACAAAATGACCTCATTCACACAGCCTGGAGGAACTGCTTGTTAGGTAAAAGGACAAAGAAGAGTGGAAATAATATTGAGCTCAGTTAGCATTTGGTCACCTAAAAATGCAGAATAGCAGCTTTTAGTACCTCACAAACTGGACTCCAACATCTATGTTTACATAAACTTCCACATTTATCCTCCACTTTCCCTCTATAACTTTCTCACTTCATTTTCTGACAAAGGTGACAAAGCCGCACCATTTGCCCAAAGCGGGTTCTCATGTAATTCTGCCATCTATACTTGGCACTATTCAGCTGGTGAGGTGTTGTGATATATGTGGTCGTGACCGCACATCTGAAACCTGCTGTGCAGCGCTGATGTCACCCTGTATCTTACACAAAGGTGCCACTGGGATTTGTCACACCGCTTTCTCAAAACACGGATGAAGAAGAAGCAAGAGATGTAGAGGAACATATTTAAGTGTGAAAATATGTCTGTGGGAAAGAAAAAAGTGTGTCAGAAAACGGTCAGAAAACTATTTCAGTCACCGTGCAAGAATGACTGCAAAGCCTCTCGGAGATGAAAAAGGGACAAGTCTACACAGAACTTAAAATAAATTTTCTTAGTTGCCTGTATGGGTTAATTAAAGTGTCAAGGTAAAATTCTGTCAAGTGAAAAACATTTTTGAAGTTAGTCTGTTTTGTAAATGAAGAAGAAAAAGGAATAAAATTGAAAGAGAGTGAAAGAAAAAGGCAGAGAAATGAAGTTTATGCTGGAGCATCTGTTTAGATGTTTACCATTCATGTCCAAGTAAAAATATTTAGATTGGCTTATCACTGTAAACCTTTAAGGACTGTAGCAATGATTACGATTGCAACTGTTCCTGTTTATTTTGTGCAGGAATCAGGGAGAAACTGCAAGAAAGATTTTGTCAGTATCAGTTTCCCTTTTCAAACAGTTTTGCTGGTCTGGCCCTTTTTAGCCGCAGTTAAAAAAAAAAAAAACTACACACGTCACAGAAGTGGTCTGGGGCTTATCATTACAGCTTGTTTTTTTTTTTCAAGCATACTGTCTGATCGAGGAGAAATAATGCAGAGATACTTTACTCCCATCTTAAATGAATCAGACACAGACAACTGATCAAAGACGTAAATCGTGAGACCTCTGTCTTAAGCAGTCACACCTCTGAGAGCATCAAAAAGTCATTACCCATGCTTGTTGACCAGAGTTTCATTATTTAGCTCATTAGATCACTGTGTCTTGATAAACCAGCCCTCACATGTAACTGATGTAAGAAGCAGGAGCTTTTTCTCATGCTCCATTAACAATAATCAACTTTACACTGAGCTAATGCAATTTGCTGGGGATGTGATTTCATGCAGTATCAATCATCGGCAATCTTTTTTTTTTCAGAAATGAAACAGAATAAGACACAAGACTAAAAAGACTCTAAAATGTAACCTCAAGAAGTATGATGCTCAATCATTTGAATGTTATCTCTTTAAAGGCACTGACCTGTCTCTTACAGGAAAAATTAGGAAATGAAAAAATGATCTGACAGGAACATGATCGTTCATAATGCATGAGGGGAAATGGCACGGCTGCATTAACGTCCAGTATGGGATATCTCTGAATCAAATATACGAAGCTATTTCAGCTAATAGCCATTAGCTGTGGATATAGAGATCATACTTCAACAGGAAGGAAAAGACTCTGAAATAACACGAGAAAAAAAAGGAGATGTAAGACACAGTAAAAGGAATATAGACGGTGAAGCATCGCTGATGGAAAATATGAAAGAGGAAAGCGTTGATCATAGGTGTATGACTGTGTGAATGGGACGTTGCAGTGAAGGGAGTCTCAGATACAACAACAACTGACTGCTGGGTTCACTTGAGGACACTAGGATATTACCCTGCTGCTATTAGCAGATGCTTATGCTAATGTAGTATCACACTAGACTCAACCAAACCAGCCACTTTTTTATTGTTTGTGGCACACCCTGAACACAATGTTCTGGCAGTTTTAGACGGCACCTATCATGTTAAAGCATCTCAGGAGCCTTTTCTTTCTGTCTGTCTTTTATTTGATCTGCAATTCCTCTAAATTTGACGCTTTTAGCCTTTAATTTGAAGATCTGAAGCTTTAACAGAACCCCTGTGATACCCCCCTGTTATTTTATTCTGATAAAAGCAAAGGAGGGGAGTACAGGAGCATCGGGAAGGCACCCTTGACTGACAATTGAGATGCTACCGTCAGCATTGCGTGTGAGAGGGCGAAGAGAAGTTGGCGTGTTCGGATTGTGACCTCTGCAACCGGCAGGCTCCCTCCCACTCCAAGCATGCAAACTCTCCACAAACTGAGGCCTGTTTTTCCACCACACATGGCTTCAATTGGAGGCTACTGCTGCTTCTGCTGTGTCTGCAGACAAAAGGCATAGCTAGACAAACCTGATTATGAAATCAGTGACTAGCAAACAGATCAAACTGGCAGTGTCACTTGGCCGCGGGTATATCCCCGGTGTTCGCTGAAGAATTGACTATTTGCTTTTCTCGGCCTTTCTTCAAAAGTCTGGTGCATGTGTGCATTTATTTGCATGTTTGTGTGTGAACAGGCCTGTATTTAAAATCCCGCCTCAGCGCCAACAAGGCAAGCTGTTTACTACTTGGTTGGTCATAAAAAGTAAATATGCATCAGTCGGGGGACTATCAAAGGCTCCTTCATTTGGTTCCCCAGCTTAGATGGCTTTGGATGTGTGCTGTAATTGCCTCTGCTCAGACAGAAACTCTCTGTGGTGGACGCATGGCCGGGGCTGAAAGAGCCGAGGGAAACCATGCTGTCCTGTACACTTAAACACTTTCCAGCTGATCTAAGAGGAACCAGAAGACACACAAAGAGCCGGGAAACACAGGACACTGACACTCACACACCGCAAATGACTCTAAAATGACACAGGTGCTGGAGAACACACACACTTTTCACATGCGTCCACTCACATACGCTCACAATCACATAAACATCGTTGATGACAGCCAAATTAGGAGCCGAACCCAAATAACAAACATGTGTTCATTGTTTTCTCAAGACAACGCCCATGTCGGCGTCTGCCTCTGAAAGTGAATCTGCAGTGTTAGGCCTGTTCTGGAGATGAGTTTAGATTTAAAGCCAGGATCTCACAGATAGACTCCCAAACCCACATATATGGCATCTTTTTCATACTGATGTGGGTCACTTGTTTGGATTAACACTTTTCTCACACCTCCATCCAACAGAAAACTACATGGGATTCATACCTGAGGTTATTTTTTGGAACTTTTCAACAAATGAAAGTAATGTAGTAGTAATGTGAATTCATAATGACAAATTTCCAATATTTTCAAAAGCATGCATTTTACTTTGAAGGCTTTAGACTCACTGTTTTTCCACTCTTACTATCACTAGCAGCTTGAGTGTAAAAATGGAGAGTTACAAATCAAACAAACAAAAGCTGATAAAGAATTTAAAAAGGTTGAGTGTCACTTTTAGTCTGTCTGATACATATCTGTACATGTATCAAAACCAAAATGGCACTAAATGTTTATTTTGGCTGGTTTTAAGCGCCCTTTACGTTCAGCTACAACAGTGACTGTCTCATTCATGCTGCTACATTCAATATAGAATTTGAAGTCCAGCAGCTTACACCTTATCTAAAAGCATTAGACTTATCCTTGTGTAACGTTTCTCTTACACATGGGAACAACTCACCGATTTAGCAGACCCTGATAAAGCCTTGGAGCACGCTCAAATATTTGAGCTATTCCTCCAGAAATGTTGTGTGCACTTGACTTCAGGCTTACTTTATCACACCAAACTGCTTCTCCAAACTGTGGTATGATAATGACATTCAACAAAAAAAAAAAAAACCCACAGTCAGGGCAGGAGTCGACTGAGAAAGAGTGTGGCTCCAAGAGATAACAGACATACAGGTGTGTGTGTGTGAAATATATTCTGCTTTTCTTATGCAAAAGTTCAAAACCATGTTCAGGTTCATTAATATTTTACTAGTTTTTTATTGATTGGGCCTCAAAAGATTATTTTTTTGTTTGTTTTAAAGTTTCAAAGAGGCCTCAAGTCAAAGCAGATCTTATTCCATTCAGCCCTCATGAGCCTTGCACGTAAACTATCTTAGGTAAGCCAGTGTTGGCTGTAAAACCAACTACTTGTTTGTTGTACAAACAGATGCGCTGTCTACCCCGGGTCTCATCACCCTGAGATCAAAGCTCGACGATGACAACTGCATAAAATCCATATCATCAGACAACACTGAGCTTTGATCATATCTGCTGTCTTGTGTTCAGTTTGTGACAAGTCAGATGCCAAAGAAAGAAAAGCATGACAAAAACCGAGGAGCGGCACACAACAGAGCAAAACTAATAACGTTTGGAAATGAAATGCTACACCCACAGAAGAAATAGAGTCAAAGGGAAAAAATGTGAGTAAAAAAAAGCATGTGAGAGATGGAGATGGGTGTTTGCCACTCACCATGCCCACAGGTCCTTCTCGGTAAGTCTGAGTCACCTCAGAGTTCAGATGAGGATATGCGTAAAGTGGAGTTGACCCAGTAGGGAGGAACCCCACTGACCGATTTACTGGCTGACTAACTACCCATCTGACTGGGTAATGACTGACTAAACAACTGCAGCCTCACTCTGCCAACTGTGCCATTTCAGATCCAAGAATCAGTCCGAGCTGCTTCAATCTTCAGAGCCTGGGTCTCCTGCTGAAACTGTCCCGTCCCAACATGTCCCACTCAGTCCAGGGCCGCATCCCAGAGCTCCAAGGCTCAGAGAGGCAAAGTAAAGATCTGTCCCCCCTTGTTCCCACAGCCTGTCAGGAGGGGAGGAGAGGAGCTGAGGCTGCTCTGTTCCCATAGAGGTCAGATGTGGAGTTAACACACCCAGCCAGCAGACTGGTTACTGCTACCGAAGTTCTCTCTCTCTTTCTCTCTCTCTTTCTTACTCTCTCTCTCTCTCTCTCTCCCTCCCTCCCCGTCTCCTCCCTGCAAACCTGATAAATCACTCTGGAGACACAGCAGAGCACCAGCCCACACTCAGCCACTCACACACAGCCAGGAGTAACAGTAGAGACAGAGAGAGACTTTCAACCAGTTGTCCCAAGAGATCCACTGTCCATATGAGAGTCTGGAGGCAGAGCTGCCAGTTCTCCCTCCCTCCTCTCTTTCCCTCCCTCTCTCTATTCTTCCCTCCCTCCCTCCCTGCCTCTCCTCTTTCATTCCCCTCTCTATTTTTTTTACAGCCTCCGCCGAGACACTCTTTATTGTGGCAATTGCATTAGCCTTTAGCAAGCGAGGAATGGCTCTTAGTGCCTAATGCAATGTTGTGTCTCTCTCTTTCTGCTTATCTGTCTTTCCCCCTTTCTCTCTCTCTCTCTCTCTTTTCCCCTCTCCCAAGTGTCTATCAGTTTGACAAGTACACGTACACATACACACCTCCTCTCCTTCCTTCTTTGCAGCTTTTCTTCTTCCTCTGTGAGTTATCCCTTAAAGGGACACCGTCTCGTTTTGCTCTTTCTGCTGGGGTTCTTTGAAGGAGTCCAGGTGCAGGATCATGTTTCAGTAGACTGAGACGCATCGATTGTGTTTCTCTGTTTGCCTCAAATGTTTACCTTCTGTTACAGGACTAATGCGCTGCTGTGCCACATGCAGAAAATATGAAGGTGCAGTCAATGAAGCAACAACGGAAAGAAGTGTATCACAACAAAAGAAGGCTTGACATTTTGGTCATTGAACTTAACATTTTCCTGCATTTTCATAACACCTGTTGAGCCTCTTTGTTCAGCACATATGCTCCAAATGATCCCTTCCTGGCTTTGTACCAGGGATGGATGGATGGATGGATATGTGGTAGGGCTGAGGCAACAAAACAGGTAATACTGTGAGTTTGTAGTAGTGAGAGATGCAGAAGAAGAAGCAGACTGCTAGCAAGCTATCTATAGCAGATGATCGGACAAAATGATATTCTGATTTATTGTAAATCCAAAACTACATTTCAGCACATATGTCTTCCGGTCACTACCATAGACTGTATATACTATGGACAATGTGGTTCCGCCTACTACCAGTATACGGATTTGAAGCTCTCAATATTTCAGTGTTTTTTCTCCATTTCCTGAAACCAACATTGCGCAGTAGTGTTGTACGCTCTCCACCACTTGCGCAGTAGCGTTGTGCGCATTTGGCAGGAGAGTCGCTGAGATGACGCTCGGTTCAAACAGCGTATCCCCCGGGTAAGCTACGCAATCCTTGTACGCCCATAGGCTGTATCAAGTGTCAATCATAGAAAACTTGAACCCCCTAATAACTTTTAAAAACTGAGCTGTACAGAAAAAAGAGGACTTGAGCACAAACCAGTCTTACAGTAACTATATGTCAACATTGCAAGCGGGGGGGGATATATTCTGTGTAATTGAGTTAGCTTGTCCCCAAATTTCTCACCAATTCATCACCCTGCTGATTCTGAATATTTTAACATGAACATTGAAAAAATAGGGCTTATAATTTATATGTTAAGTCTTAATGTTGATGTTTTTTTTCTTTTAGATATCATGAAAATATGAATTTAACTCTATCTAATAATCATGAAAAAACACCTCATAGTAGCTTTAATGACATGATATTGTTATTTTGAGTATTAAAAACTGTTTTTGATGATGCATACATGCAATTGTTTATGATGCTTTGGCGACAAACTGCAGTTATAGTTCACTGTGTACTTCTTTCAAGGTAAGTCATTACATCAAATGTGATAATTGCAGCTGATTTTGTATTTTATTCATGCTTTAAAATTTCACTTATGGGAATTGTGTGTGAACAAAGTGTCTTTGGTGCTCAAACTGACCAGTAGCATGTTGTTAATCTCACAACAAGGTGAAATGTTTGTTTTGAAAAACAGAATGGTGTGGAAAAGTAAACTTGAAGAGGTTACACAGCCACATCCACTTTAGTCTCTGAAGTCCAGGCATCAATATGTTCAACCCAGTAAGTCACTCTGTCAAAAATTCCAATAGAGGGGTGACAGGGTTTCATCAGCAGGCACGATGCAGCAGTTTTGGACTTGGCCTTTAAGTCTGACACTGGAGAGTGACAGGGGCCCCAGAGGAGAAGGCGGCTTATAAGTAGAAAGTCACGAAGTTTTATACCCACAACATTGTGTCTAAAAACAGTTTTTCACTCTTGCTAAAATCTCATAAAAACTATACTGAACCCTCAAACTTACATACACAAAAGTCTGTGCGTCCATTTGAAGAGAGAAAAAGTGCTTCTTGATAAATTAATAGTGGAGGATAAAAAATAACAAGTAAAAATTCTTTTTTTAAGCAGCAGGACATCCTAATTATGTCCCAGCTACTGAGGTGGAGTTACAGCCATCTGTGGCACCAACTGCTGTAAATCTAGCATGATTAGAGGGCAGCAGCTTAGATAAGACTGTATTTCAAAGGCTATTACATGTCCAGACATAACATTCATTAATTAAATTCTTGTGTTCCCTTCAAAGTTAGATCATATCCTACAAAAGCAGTTTGGGAGATGAAAACTGCAGCCCCTGCAATGTTCTTGAAGCTGATTGACCGTCTCATACGTAACTCACAGCTTCTTTATCAATGTGATCTATCATTGCACTGCACAAAATGACACTTAGGTTTCTTTTTCAAGGATGAGTTTCCGACATTTGTGAGTTTACAGCAAAAGGAGGCTACTGATCCATTGAATCTCTCCAAGAGTAACAACATAGGTGTGAAGGCACCTTAAATAACATGAAGACAGACATGTCTTCTTGCAGCGATGGGTTAAGACAGCCTCTTTCTGCGTGTTTTCACTGTATGTCTTGTTACTGTATTGAATCAGTTCAATTCCTTGACACTTTTGTCTGTTTTGTGACCATGCAGGTTACTTTTTAAAGGGATATTCTGGCGTAAAATTAAGTTAGGGTCAAACATACCATAACACCGAGTTAGACACCTCCCTCAAGAAATGAATGTTGCCGGCCACTTGCTGCTCTAGTTATACTAACTTTAGTAACGACCGCAGATAGCAATACAGAGAGTTACGCGCTAAACCAAAACGCCACTCTATAGCCACAAATAATGCTCAGAACAGCACCTAACTTCATCAACAGTACATATAGGGTCCCAGCCATAGTACTAGCCACCAAACATCTTTTTAGCCTAGCCTGGTTTCTTTAGCAAAGAGACTAAACACAACTCACCTACTCTCTTCCAGCAGCCGCTTGTTTGTACAGAGACCTCCAGGCAAGTCCATTGAGTGCAGCGGGGTGACACAGTTCAAGGAAGAACATTTATGATCATTACTTAATCATTTCTTTGAAGTAATAATCATCATATTAATCATTTTGCACTGCAGACGCGGTAGTTCTTCTGCCTTAGTGTCTCTGTCTGATTGCATTTCCATAAATGAAGAAATCAGGCAAAGCTGAAGTTTGGTGGCTAGTGCTATGGCTGGGACCCTATATGTACTGTTGATGAAGTTAGGTGCTGTTCTGATCATCATTTGTGGCCATAGAGTGGTGTTTTGGTTTTGCGCGTGGCTATCTGTATTGCTCTCTGTGGTCGTTACTAAAGTTGGTATAACTAGAGCAGCAAGCGGTCGTCAATATTCATCTCTCGACGGGGTGTCTAACTCAGTGTTATGGTTTGTTTGACCCTAACTTAATTTTACGCTGGAATAACTTTTATTTTATAGAGTACAATTTCTGGTAGATCCTACATTTTTGGGTTCACAATAAATCCTTGAACGTCAGTTTTTTTCAAAAGTGCTTCTTTATTTCTCTGAGGGCTGCTACAGCTATCTAACTAGCAGTCTGCCTCTTCATCTTCTTCATTCATCCTCTGTCTAAAGACATGGAGCGACCAGCTGAAATGGCCCCCCACTGTGTGTTTCACACTTGATGATAATAGACAGGGTGTACTGTGATCATAGGGGTCTATATTATAACATCTAAGTCATTCATCATGCTTTTTTGGTTTAAGCCAAAGCGCTGATATTCAACTCTTTTAAAAAAAAAAAAAAAAAGCATTTTCCCTCTGGGCTTATTTGTTTGTTTAAAAAAGTCTGAAGCATTCAGTCTTTCCAGCAGACTGGGCCAGAATAAAGCAAAGCAGTAGGGTGATCGACTGGGATCATTTGCTCATTTTCTGGGAATATTACCAAAAAATTCACCAAAAAGAAAGCAGAGTGGTTTCACATGCAAGCAGCAGATCCTGTTTTGTTATTCATTTGTAGGCGGCAGTGTAAACACCACATACACTGTTTGAGGAGAGAAACAGTTTCCCCTAACATGAACCTACTCTAAATGTACATTACTGTCTGTCATAACATCGGCAGCATATTGCCAAGTGTTTAGTTTTCGTGTTTAGTGTCTTTTGATCTAGACAGCATCATCCTCTTTTATTTGTTACGCTCCATTTACTTAGAGGAGACATGACTCATTCTTGTGTAGACAAGCAGTAAGCAAAGAGGTTCTGAAGTTCACAAGCTTTTTAAGAAAGAAACTGAAGGCACTTTTAAATGCTTTCAGTTAACATCTTTCCTTTTACATGTTGGTAGTTTTTTCATAAAACCCTTACAATTAAAAGAGTGTGAGGCTACAGAATCTATACTTTAAATCCAAAGTAAAAAATATCAGGCACAGTCTCATGTTGTAAAATTTTGTGAGGCGAACTGCAGTGTACAGCCCTGAAATAAAAGGTATTTTTTGCTCGTGGGTTATTTTTGTTTTGAAAAAACTATGGCAGTAGCAATTCTCAGAGTTCTATTTTTCTGTTGTCAGGGTAAATATTTTGCAGCGTATTCCTCCTGACCTGATTGTCTTGAGTCTTTTTTTTATTGAACCAAAGTCAGGCAGAGCGGAAAGATG